TGGTGAGTGGCCACATGGGTGCCCAGCCCAGCAAGGACCTGGAGCTGCTGGAGAGAGTCCAGAGCAGGCACCAAGAGGATCCCAGGGCTGGAGCAGCTCTGCTGGGAGGAAAGGCTGGGAGAACTGGGATTGTTCAGCCTGGAGAAGAGAAGCTTTGGGGTGACCTGATTGTGGCCTTGCAGGGCCTGAAGGAGCTCCAAGAAAGATGGAGAGAGACTATTTCCAAGGGGTTGGAGTGACAGGATAAGGGGAAATGGCTTCAGACTGACAGAGGGCAGGGTTAGATGGGATATTGGGAGGAAATTGTTCCCTGTGAGGGTGGGTAGGCCCTGGCCCAGGTTGCCCAGAGAAGCTGTGGCTGCCCCTGGATCCCTGGAAGTGTCCAAGGCCAGGTTGGACAGGGCTTGGAACAACCTGGTCTAGTGGAAGGTGTCCCTGCCCACGGCAGGGGGTGGCACTGGATGATCTTTAAGGTTCCTTCCAACCCAAACCATTCCATTATTATGATTCCAATGACACAGTGCATGCCAAGTGGAAAGAGTTTCTTAAAATGGAAATGGGAGATGCTGCTGATAAAGTCTGGGAGTTGAGGATGGAAGGAGTTTTGTGTTTCTGGTTTTGGGGTGACAGGGTAGGAGTTTGTCTTGGCTCTTTAATCACTGGGGTTTTTTTCGTTAATTTTACGTGTTGCACCGGATCCAGGAAAGTTCTGCTCCATGCAAATGTATTTTATTTGTGTTTCTGAAAACAAAATATGCCCTTGCTGAGGATGCAAATCTCCACTTGCAGCTGCCACACGTTTCCCCACGGTGCCTCATCAGGTTGTCTCTGTAGTTGTGACTTGATGCCAAAGAATTGGCTGCTAATAAGGATGACAGTGCTCACCCTGAAGATTCCCGAGCTGGATTTCTAGCAGGCAAAAATTAAGGCTAGAAAGAGTCATCAGTTTACCAAGTGCTCTGATTGTGTTTGTCTCTGCTGGACTGGAACCAGGGTCTTGAAAAAAAATCAGCATTTTCCATGTTCTACAGCTACCTCTGAGTGCTGTGTATGAATTTAAGCTCGTGCAGAGTTTAAAAATATCTTGAACTTGCTAAAGAACGAGATAAAATAACAAAGAAACGATTCCCATTAATTAGAATTTATTATTTACTGTTTCAAAGTGGCGTCAGGAATGTACTTTGATGTGTGTTATTCCCCAGGCTAATAAAACTTTCCCTTCCAGGCTGCCTTGATGATCTCCCTGATTTGGAAGTACTACTCTGAGCCAGTTACTGTGCTTCCAAGCAAATGGTTGGCTCCTCTGGAGAGGCTGGTGGCCTTCCCTACAGGGGTGGCAGGTAAGGAAAAGGACATTCCCAAGCTCCCGTGGATTAACAGCACTGCTTCTGCACCCCCTTTATTCTGACTCCCTTTATTCTGTTCCCTGTGTGTTCAGATCTTATTTGTCAAAACTGGGAACTGAAATGGGCTTTTTGTCATTTTTGTTCGTTTCCAAACAGCAGCTTTCTCTCTTTATCTGTATCGAAGATTTAAATTAGAATTATTTTTATATCAAGGAGTCCACTGAAATAGTAGAATTGGGTTTAAAAATGGGTAAATACTTCGTAGGTGTGGATGTCCTACCTGCTTTTCATATAAATTGGTGAGGTTTCACAGTAGTAACTCCAGAGTGGTTGTTCCCTGTGAGGGTGGGGAGGCCCTGGCACAGGTTGCCCGGAGAAGCTGTGGCTGCTGGAAGTGTCCTGGAAGTGTCCCTGGAAGTGTCCAAGGCCAGGTTGGAGGGGGCTTGGAGCAACCTGGTCTAGTGGAAGGTGTCCCTGCCCATGGCAGGGGGTGGCACTGGATCTTTAAGGTCCTTTCCAACCCAAACCATTCCATGATTCTGTGATTTAGTTTTGCTCTCTGTTGGCGTTTTGTCTTGTGTGTTCCCACCACGCTTCTATTGCATTTTTACCCCCTAAAATCCTTTTCTTCTGGCCAGTTTAACAAACGAATGATCAGAACAGTGGCAGAGGTTTGTTATCCCTGTCCTGAGGGATGAGGGACAGGCAGGATGGCAGGACAGGGTAGGGGGCGAATCTTCATATTTTGCTCATAAATCCTGCCTGCCTTTGGAGGAATTCTGATACATGTTTGTGGAATTGTGTGTTTGTATCCATGATTTATATCCAGCATGTTTACTAGACAAGAGGAGTCTACTTCAGGGGGAGGGAATAGTCCTTGGAAGGCTTTTATTAAATAGCATTGGAAAGCAATTAAAAAGGTTTATGTTGTGTCCACTTTCAAATCTTCTGTCCTGGTTTATAGAGTAAAGAGATCACTGTTGAATTCTAGGTCACAAACACAAAAATGTCTAAAATCACCCAAAAGGTACTTTCTCCACGTGTTTGCTGTGAATAACCATCTCCTTTTAAGAAGGCTGAATCAAATTTCAGAGGATATTTGCTTTTTACCTCTCTCAAACCCTGAATTTAGGTTCAGACAAAGCATCCTGTGACTTGCCAGGCCTTCAACTCCAGCACTTCAGATGTTTTTCCCTCAGGTCCACAGCAAATGTTTTCAGCTTTTTTTTACCTTTAGTTTTAACATATCACACTTTGGCTCATTTTTGTGTGTTTGGTGCTCTTTTCCCGAGGGTTTTTTTGGAGTTCTCTGCCATCTCCTGGAGAGACCCACTTGGATATAAAGAGATGTTTTGTTCCTGTTCACCTCATAACTTCTAAGTTCCATTTTCCAAGCCTTCAAGGTTGGTTTTAGATGCCTGTGTTCCTCAGGGTTATTAATGCAATGACTTAAACCGTGGTTTATGTCTCTTCCAGGTGGTGTTGGAATTACCTGCTGGCTCGTGGTTTGCAATAAAGTTGTAGCTATCATGCTGCACCCCTTCAGCTGAAGGAATTCCAGTGATCCATGGAACCCTCAACTGCATTTTCACCATTTTCACTCTTTTAAATTAATTTAAAAAAAAAAAAAAAGGGACTGTTGTCTTTCATGAGACTGAGACAATCCTTGTTATTCCAGTTGGATATCAGTCAGTATTCCCTTTGATTTCTCTTTACAGAGGTTTTCTTTTTTGGGTGGTTCAGTTTTGAAAGAACAGCATTCCTGGTTATAGATCCTCATTTTGGGTCTGTTCATGGCAAAAACATAATATTTTGGCATGGCCTGTGGTTACCAACATCTAAAAGGGTTGAATTTGGGTTTTTAAATTGGGAATGGGCTGGCATTAGGAATTAATTTGGGATCTGTGCTGTTTCTTTGCTGTATAATAATGGTGGTTTCACCCCCACGTGTTTGGTAGGTGCTAAAGGGCAGAGGGAGGTGATTTGGTTGGCTCAGGGTAAAACAGAGTTTCCTTGGTATTTTTTACCCTAGAATTGGAATATTCCTGGGCTGTCCTAAAAAATGACCTATTGATAGATAAGTTCAATCAATTTTTATCTCTTAAGAGACTCCCTTAGCCAAGCACAGGATGGCTGGATACTTTTTCCTCCCTGACTTTTAAAATTCATTGAGTTTTTTCCTGGTTTTATTGATAATTGACCTTTCCTTGCTTTTTTCTGCTTCCCAAACTGAGGATCACTGAAACCATTTCCTTCCATGTTTCACTGAAACTGTTCCCTTCCATGCTTTGGGAGGAAAGGTCTGGCCAACCTTCTCAATCTCATAAAGAGAGAGCAGAAAGTGCTGTTCCTGCAGATGTTTTAGCATCCCACTTTGGAATTCCCACAGTGGAATGCATCTCTTCTGTTATTCCAGCTCCTTCTGGGGCCAGGAACCCTCCAAAATTAGCACTGCCTTTAGAAATCAGATCAAAAGGTCATGTTATGTTGTGTGTATATATGGATGAAATGTTTGGGGTTTTTTTAATGTTAATTTAAAAATTAGGGGTTTATACTCAGAGTTACTTTGGGCCAACATGAAAACAGATACATTAAGTATCAAGGATAAAAAATGTTGTGGTTGAATGTTATGTCTTATTATGGTTTTATTAAGGAAATAAAGCTTTTCAAGCCCTCTCAGGTTTCCTGATCCCTTTTTTAATGTTTAGTGCAGTTTTCCTAAAAAAAAAAAGAACCAACCAACCAAAAACCAAAACAAAACAAATAAAAACCAACTCAAAAAACCCCCCCAAAAAAAAAGTGACAAAACAAACCCAAACCCACCAAAATCCAAACCAAAACAACTCCCTGTGTTCTTGAATAAGGAAATACTTTTGGAGTCAACAGGACTAATTTATTTTTACAAACATTTGAACTTTGAAAGTAGGTTCAGCTCTGAATATCTTTGTCAACTTTAAAAGCTTTTGCAGTGTGATTTTAGGAGGTTTTCAAACTGCTGCTGCCTTTTAAAACTTAACAGAATACACCCAATTTTTCCTAATTTCACGTCGTTTTAGCAAGTGTTTTGTGAATTACTATGAGGAACAAACCATAATCCTCCTCCCCTGGCTTACATAACCTTAAACACAGGATTTTTAAAGGCTTTTTGGGGGCTGGCCATGCCTGACTTCTCCTAAACAATAGTTTACTCTTGCACATTCATCTTTGGATGTCAGCTGGGGAAGTTACCAGGCAAACTGCTTTGATAAGTTGGAACAGTGGGAAAGAACGAGGCTTTAGAGGTTTCTAATGCTCTTGAAAACAATGGAATAGCAAATTATTTTCGTTACATGCGAGTTCTGGAAGCTGTTTGGGGAGGGAAGAAAATAAAGAAGTATTTTCTTTGGTTGCATTGTTGGGGCTAACCCAAGATGAACCTTACGAAAGCGGGTTTGTCGTGTCGTGCTGAGCTCCCAGATTCCAACTGCTTGAGGATGCAAAAACCTGCAAGTTACCAAACAAGGACTAACTTGGACATCTGATAGCAGGTAAAAACGTTAAGGGACTCTCAGTGTGATGCATTTGCAACACGCAGACCAAGAACAGGAGAACGTTCTGCGACAATATTTTGAGTGTCGTGTCGGAAAACTCGTGGAAAGAAACTGCCAGTGCTTGTAAGATTTAATACACATTTAATGAAGGTAAAACGTTTGGCTTTAACAATTTTAACAGTTTAACATTTTAGAAGTTGGAATTTTCTGAAGATAAGTTGCTGTAACTTGTCTGACTGTCAGAAATGCTTTGTGTGTTCTCGGGTGTTAGTTCATGTTGGGCGCTTCCCGTGACAAACTCGCCGTGGAGGTTTGGAATTTGGCCTGTGTCTCATCCTGCATCCTTGCATTTTGTTCCTCTCGTGTTGGAACTCGAAGGGTTGTCTCTCTGAGCGGCTCCTGCTCCAAAGAGTTCTTTCATAAGCTGTTTTTTCCTCTCAGCGAACGCCACGTGAGCAAGTCCTTCCGCTCCGGCGGCTCCATCCTCCTGCCTGGGCTTGGTGTCTTTACCAAAGGATGGCTCGTAGAGCCCAAAGGAATTTTTCCCTCTGGATTCAGCTGTTTCAGTGCAGCCCTGCCCTGCCTGTCCCTGGCTCCCTGCTTTGGGGTTTCTACCAGACGTGTGAAGCCCCTGATGCAAATTCTCAATGGCTTCTGAGAATGTGTATTTTTTTTTCGGCCTGACGGGTGTTTTGTTTGGAATTGCACCTTCCTTCCCTTCCTTCCCACTGTTAATTTGCTGTTCTTCTGGCTTTTCTCCCTTTTCAAATTCTTCCTCTGCATCTCCCTCTTGATTGTTGTCTTTTACACCAACACTTTGAGGACCTTGTTCAGTTTTCATGAGGTTTTTCAACTCCTGTTTGAGCAATTCTGTCTCTTTTTCCTTTTCTTTCATAAATCCTGAAAAAGTGATCCTTCCATCAGTAGCCTGCCCTCCCTTAAATACTCTAAAATTAAATATTTTGGGGTTTAGGAATATAAAAGAGTGAGGAAACATTAGAGAGCAAGTTTCACATCCCTATTTCAGTGCTTCAGTTGTTACTGATGGTACTTCAGTCTTGGGGGTTATGACAATGCTCTTCATAATAAATACAACAGGATGGGGCAAGATTTAAACAACATCATTGTGCCATTGAACGCAGGTTAATGTCTTTATTTTTACCTTTTTCACAATGTTTAATTTTATTAAGTGAATTTAGCTGCAAATATCATCAGTAGTTCCTAAATATAGGGCCAGAAAAGTCATGTACAGTGCAACAGAGAAACGATGTGAGATCTGAACTCTAATTGTCATTTTCTTGCTGTTGAGTGGAACTTAGATATATGTAGGATTTTCCTTCCCTTCATTCATAACAGGGTTGCTTGTGGAGCAAAATATACAGCAACTCTCACCTGTAAGTGAGGTGACTCCACTTTTTAGTAGGAAAAGGAATACAGCGAATATATTTATCCTGTAATAGTTCCTGTGCTTTGGAGAGACTCACAGGATACCTCCAGAATGAGGCAGAGTCTTAAAGGAGAAATATGAAGCTGCAGCAACTAAAAAAAGCTGAGTAAGGCTTCAGGAGGAAAGTCTGATACCAGCAGTGAGAGAAACTCAGATTTTTCAGGTTTTCAGACAGAGATTCACAGGGAGCATCAGGAGACCTGTGTTTTCTGCCAGTTTTAAAAGGAAATTTCAAAGGCAAATGGCTTAGGTTACCTGATGGGGTCTGGAAAGGCAGAGTACAAAGCACAGGAATTAACACAGCCCAGATTTCAGGCTTTATGAAGTGACCTCGACCTGTTTCACCTCTGTAAACGTGTGGCCTTCATGTGTCCTGCCCTTTGGGAAGTGTTTACCATGCTGGCATTCAGATCTTGGCTCTTCCTACGAGCCTTGCCTTAATGGAAATCACATGGATATTTCTAGAAAGAAAAACTTGGATAGAGGAACAAATGCACCGGCTTCTTTTTTTCCTCTGTTCTGTAGAATTACTTCAAAATAAAGGTGTTTGTAATGAGTCCCTTGCAAATAACTTTTACATGAGTTTGCCTAAAATCTATTTACAGTCATCACTGTAATGAGGAGAAACTCCCAGCCCCTGAAGTCCTTTTCCTTTCCCAGCCATAGGAATACACATTCCCACCAGCTGGCATGAAGATTCCCAACAAGAATTCGAGATCAGTGGTCGATTAGTGTGGAATTAACAGCTCTTAGTTATACTTTTACAGATAAAGCACCGAATTTTTACCAACCTGAGCAGGAAGTGCTTTTGGAAGAGCAGCAGGATGGAGATGTTGGCTGCTGCAGAGCTGCTCTGCTCCGTGTGACACCACCTTAATACATCACTTGGAACTCGTTCCTGTCGGTCAGGTGCCAGCTAAATTACCAATACCACTGGTAATTTGAAAAGATCAAGAGAGTTTGTGAGCCAAATTATAGAACATACCTCTGTGTGCTCTGTTAGAAGTTTTTGGCACCGGTGCTTTCTTGGTTGATTGATTTTCTGTTCTCTGAGCATCTGAGTTCACTTCATTTGCTGCAGCTTCTTCATCCTTGTCTTCTGAAGACTTTTTCTCCTGTAATTGGCAATTAGAGGTAAAAATAACAAGGGAATGCTTGTTTAGTGACTTTTAAAAGTGCACTTATTAAAAGATTAGTAATTTCCATTGCTGGTGCGTTCTTATTTTGCATCACAACATATTTTTCTGCACTATAATTACACTCGTGCAAAATCCACCTCCTGGGAAGTTAAGATGATGGATCAGGCTATTCAGGCATGTTACTGAAACTTAGGGAATAACATACAGCTTGGCTGAGAGTTTGAATACGGGATTAGATTTGGATCCAGATCTTTCCTACCTTTATGAGCTGGATTGGGCTTTTTTCTGTGTCCTGGTGCTGTGACAGCAGCAGTGCTCTGAAACTCTCTTTATCTACTTGTACTGCTCTGTTTACACTCAGACCTGGTGAAAAGGACAGTCATTGGCAGTACAGCAGTTTCTGGAATTGTATTGTTGATATAAACAAAAGATATCTCTGATGACTAATAATGCTGGTACGTGGCCTAGGATTTAAACATGTTTTTTTAATGCATGTCTTAATGTCCTTTAATAAATCCTTTGTTCTGCTTGATCTATAAATGCTGAAACTGGAGCACAAAGAGTTACCTGGACTTCTGAGCCTTTTCATCTGTACATCAGTACATCATATATATATATATATATATATAATTTGTATATATTATACATAAACATATAGTTAAAATATACAAAGTTCTGTTCAGATAGAACATGCAAAGACAAATGAATGTGTCTATTCCCTAGAGCCCATATGGGCTTAATTTTTAACAAGGTAAATTTAAGAGGTCTGGTATGAGCCCTCAGCTTTCAGATTCCTAAATCTGGGCCTTTATGGAACCCAGCTCTTCAGAGCAAATGCTTAACACTGTTTGAGATATTGATGGGTTTTGGAAGAGATTTCAAGGGAGAGATTGAATGAGATGCTTAAAGAAACAGCTGGATGGAGATGGGATGGAGAATATTGATCTTTATTCTGCTTTTAGGATAATTTGGACGTGAGTGCAGGAGCTGAGACAGTTGCTAACACAGCAGTAAAAATGGGATTTTACCTACATCTACATTCATCCTTATTCCCAGTTGTGATCTCAGAAATCAAAGCAACGCTCTCCATAAAAACGGTGCCCTCCCAGTGTTTGCACTGAGTGGTGAAAAGGTCGCAGGTGACCAACCCGAGGATCGCCCTGATGGTGCGGAGGGAATCGCCCTTCCCAGCTCCTCCAGCCCTTTTCCCACCAGGAATGAGCGGCGCCTTCTCCAGATCCGGGACTAGAGGGCGCTGCACCCCCAGGTGAGCTGGTGGCACCTGCGCGCTTTGCCCTCGGGAAGAGCTCATGGAATTGGTGGATTCGTCCCATAAACCCATTTTATTTGCGTGCACAAGGAAGCCTCCCCTCAGCGATTTATCAGGAGTGTTAAAAAACGCAGCCCCAGATTTCGTCTTCGGTTTCCTGCTGGCTGAAAACTTTTGGGAACATCAACTAGAAAAAAAAACGACCTGAAGAGGCAGCTCTTTACTGGTCTGTTAAAGGAGAATTCAGCAGTGAAAAGGAAAAAAAGTATTGTCAGGAATTCCAGCTCTAGGTTTCCAAATTAACTGGCGGAGAATGAAACCTTTATTGGCCAAAAATTCCAAAAGATTAGACAGCTCTGCCTGGAACCTTTTAATTACATGTCTCTCTCCAAGTGAGCTCCCTTGTCCTGCTTAAAAAAAAAATTAACTAAAATAATAAATGGTGGTTTAAGCACCAGAATTTAATAGGAATATTGTATCAGGCCATGTGGGAGTAAAATTTTTAAAAAACCATTAGTTATGTGGGAAACTGGAATTCAGAGCCTCATTAAAAAAACATGTCCATCTTGGGATGAGAAGCAGGAATATGTTTTTTCTTAATTTTGCACCTTGAATTCCCAATCTTTTCCCTGTAGTTCACTTGCAGTTAAGGCAGAGCAATGGATTTGCAAAGGTGAGGGAAAGAAATAAGCAGCTGAACGTGATAAAACTTTGTGTTGGCCCCGTAATTTGAGGAATTCTGTGGGAATGTGCCGTATTTCCAGCAGGCTGGTTTGCTGCCATGTAAATTTTAAGTGTTTTTTTGGTATGAAAAGAAAGTTCCAATTTCTCCTTCAGTTCAGGAGCAGGAATTTTAGGGCCGGTATTTTAAAGAGGTGCCTCACCCAGGGAAGTCTGTGTTTAGATCATTAAGTGCCTAATTAAGGGTGTAATTAAGGCAGCATGCACTGGGGTGTCTCAAACGGCACTGGATGTCTGGAATCAGGGAGTGGAGTCCCAAAGGCAGCTGCTCCTGGAATGTTGGATGGACACAATTCCATAAAGTAGATATTTCTCCCCAGTATCTATCTCAGCATCCATGTGAAAATACTGTTTAGTAAAGAGTTCCTTCTTCCTTGATATAACTTAATTTCTATTGTTCTTTTCTATCATTGCACTATTTTATCCTAAATAACATCAATTCTGTGCATGGAATTAATCTCTTTGGAATTAAAAACCAAAGGATGACTGAGGACACACATGGTTTTCTCTCAGATGAGACCATGAGACTGGCCTTTAAACTTCCTTTTTAGCCCACATAAAAGTGCTACACTGGCATTTATTTTGGAATGTACCCCCCAGTTATAAAACAATGTAAGTATCACATAACTTAAACAGAAAAGAAAAATGAATATACACTTACTTTGCTCCTGAGGTCCCAAATCAATCCTGTCCTTCAGGGTTTTGGGCATCCTATTTGCATAGATATTTTTTATGTAAAGCTGCCTGTCCTTTTCCTAAGAAGAAACAAAAACTCTTAAACTTCTAATAGACATTAAGAATTACTTTTTACCAGCTTAGTTTTCCCACGTGGGTAGAAAACCATTGGTGATTTTGCTTTGTTCCAGGCCATGTGGTGACTGTGTCATTTACAGAAACAGGAATCTGCCCATTTTTTTCCAAGCTAAAATTCTCCCTTTTTCAGGCTAAGAACACCTACATGATGTTTTTCATAACACAACATTCAGAATATGAAGGCTTCCCTCACGATTTTTTTCCTTTGTTGTTCTATTTTTTTTTCAGAGTAAGTAACTTTTTGCTTTTATTTCCTTTTTTTTTTTTAATTTAATTATTATTAAATTGATTTATTTAGTGCCCTTGTCCTCGTGTGCTCAGTTGTTTTCCAACCTCTTGCTTTGGTGGTGACATAAACTCCAGAGCACACTTTTAATATTTATTTAGCAAGATTCCTCTTTCCTTGCTGAAATCTTACTTGAACACAGGAGAGTGATTTCAGCACCACTCTCACCACATCAGATTTTAGTGTGAAAAAACAGGAGCTTCATTTACTTTGACAAATTACAGGTTATCCTGAAAGTGTGTCTGAATGGCTGGAACGGCCTGGAATAAGCCAGGAGCTCAAAACTATGAATGTGGAAGAATAAACTCTGTTCTGGCACAGAAATAAGGTTAATTAGAATGTCTGGGCTTCTTTGTGATAAAACAACAGAAGGTTTTGTGGATCTAAATGTACCATTAGAGAACTGGACACACAGAGAAAACTGTGTGGAAAAGAGATGAAACAGAAATATTTCAGAGGAATTTTAAGGTGAAAATTGGATTTTACACTGATTTGCATTTTGGGACAGTTTTATGTTGGTGTTGCTGGGATTATGATTATTCCCATCTCCCAGATCTGCACCTACAGGCAAGGAAAGACCAGGAGGAAATTTCTGCCCCTGATACACAGGGAAGAGGCATAAACAATATCCCTGTGCAAAAAATGGAAATCTCCATCAATCCTCAGGAACTGAGGATTCTGTTCTGCCCTTCACCATGTCTGGAAAAACTTCCCTTAACAACATCTTTCACAGGCACTTAATTCCATTTAGAAAGAGAAAGCTCCCCAGTGGGATCAGCTCTAGGTAGAAACAAACAATTAATTAATTAAAGTGTATTTTGACTGTATTCCAAACACAACTGTTAAAAAGCCACGTGAAAAGAAAGGTTTTCTGGAATATGCACCGTTTTTCTTGATTAAAACTCATCTGGGATCTCATTCCTGGCAGTTTTGGGTTTATTTCTATCTAGTTTTCCTGTAGGTTTGGCTCACAAGCACTACAGAAAGTGTTGAACTGCATGTATTTGCCCCAAAAACATTTGTCTGAAAACCAGGCTGGAATTTAAACAAACCATTGAAACATTTCCATGAGTCTCCTTGTCAAATTTTAATTTTGCAGATTGTGATGTTTGGCTCATTTTGATTCGATTTTTCCCTAAGGGAGCTCATTTAAAGTTAGTACGTGAACAAACTGACCCAGACCTGGCAAAATAGTAACACATTGATGTGGATTTTTATTCAATTAATCTCTGTTTCAATTACTTATTGAATTAATTTGAATCTCTGACAAGTAGACCCCACAATAATTTCATCATTTGATATTTTGACTTTTTTGACCTTAGACCCAAGCAGGAAACAGAAATCCCATTAAAAAAATAACATAAAAGAACAAAAGGAATAAGTAACATTAAAAACACGAATTTTCTTGTAGGAACAGAAACCTGTGTACAATCTTGAATACCTTAATTTTTTGGTGCAGGGAGTTAATTTCCATTTTCAAATTCCGTGTGATTATTCCAGCTTCCAGAGCCTTTCTGCTCTCACTTGCCAGCTGACGATTAAAGGTGTTGTTGTTCAGCTTCAGCTGCCTTTCAAGACTCTTAAAAAAATGATATATTTTACCATATGAACATACTCAGCATGATTGTTGAAAAATTTCAGTTCTTACTACATTTAAAAAAAGTGTGTTAATACAAGAAAAATTAAACTGATTATATTATGTATAGTAGTAGTAATTATATAATAATTATTATATCAGAATAACTGTATTTTATTGTAAACATGACATGAAATTATGATGAAGGATCTGAAAAATTACTTTCAAAATAAGAAAAAAAATAATTTAAAACCTAATTTCACTAAGCAAAAGCAAAGGTTTTGCCATCAATCATAAAAATAAGGCTGCACATTACCTTTCTGGTGGATTAATAAATACAATTATCTTTGAGAAATGTTAAGACATTTCTGCTCACAGAGAGCTATTAACTGTGGCAGAATAAGGAATTTTGGTGCAAATGGCAATTAAGAAATTTATTGAATATTTTATTGAGTATTTTATCATCAGAAACCAGTGCCATGCACTGGAATTATAGTTCTAAACCTGTGGAGTGGACACCCAACCCTGTGTGCTTCTTATAGCTGCTCACTAGGGCTTCTGTAAATTGAAAATTTTCAAAAGAGGGGTTGAATTCTGCTGTTTATATTTTCATTTTCTCTAAGATTTCTTGTCTCTTTATTTATTTAATTTTATGCCTAACAGACCCCGTAGAAATTAGAAATTAATTCCTGAAGGACGATGGAAATGTCTCTCTTCCAGTTTTGCATTAAAAACTGTCCCTGTCTTTGTGTCCAAGGGTCAAACAAAGATGCTAAAATGAGATTAATGACCTTCTCTGAAACTTCCTTACACTTGAGACAACACTGGATTAAACAAATTATTCTGTTTTACAGGATTGTGTCAGAATCCTTAATGTGACAAGAAGCAGCCAAAACTTTTCCATTATTCCTGTCCCAAAACCTCTCCTACCCAATGCTCCCGGTGGGTCCCTTCCCATCAGGACATTCCACGATCCAGTGTCCCACAAATCCAACGATAAGCAGATCTTACCTGTATTTCCTCATCCTTTGCTTCCAGTTTTTCAGTGAGGACCGACAGCCTGCGATGAAGTTCCTCTCTCCCCGCGAGACCTTTGTCTTCTGACAGCACCAGCAAGGCCTGCAAAGCATCTTTAACTCTTAGCAGCTCCGCTTCTACTTTCCTGAGCTCCTTGGAGGTGCTTCTCTCAGATTCCTGAGACATCCTCAGGAGGTCCCTTAAATTCCTCACCTCGACATAATGTCTGGCTGCAAGATCCTCAAAGTAACTCTCCGAGCTTTTGTACCTCCCTATTGCTTTGGACTGTCTCCACTGGAGCTGCCTCAGGGCGTGGTTTTCTAAGCTGGAGGCTTCTATTTTTCTCTGCAAGTCAAAGATTTCGTTCTTCAGCTCTTTGATTTTGTGGAGCCTGGCTGAGGCGATTCTCTGAGCCGCTGCATTTTTATCCTGGGAGGTCACGTTGCTCTGCAGGGTTAAACAGGAGCAATGGTGTGTCTTTGGGGCTGGGAATCTTCTTCCTCCTGTGTCGAGAGCAGAGCAAAGTGGCATTGAAATATGGGAATTATTGGAGGCATCTGAATCACTGGGTGGCTTGTCTGCTCACAGAAATTCTGCTCATCCAACTCCACAACTCTGGTGTATCTGGTAAAATTCCCAAAGACTCCACTGTTCAATGAGAAACCTGGTCTAGTGGAAGGTTCCCTGCTCGTGGCAGGGGGTTGGAATGAGATCATTTTTAAGGTCCCTTTCAACCCAAATTCCACGATTCAAGTATTTCACAGGTAAATCCATTAAATATTTTATATCCCTGTGTACTTCTGTGGCTGCTCTGGGCCACAGCCAACAGGAATAACTTAGTGAAGCGTATTTGTGTTAAAACATTGCTCCAGAATCAATGGAAATAAATTTTCTCCCTGTAAACCGCTCAGTTCACTAATTTAGGCACAATCTGGGGCCTGGTGGACCAAATTCAGCCCATCTAGAAAGATCCCCAAGAGGAAGGAGCTACACCTTGAATAGATGCATGATAGAAAAAAAGAAAACCCACCAAACAATTCTGTGTTTCTATGATTCAAGTATTTCACAGGTAAATCCATTAAATATTTTATATCTCTCTGTATTTCTGTGGCTGCCCTGGGCAATAATGTCCAGGTAATCATGATAATCAGAGTAACCTCCAGGTCTTCAAGGACTCAGAACCCACCATGATCCCAACAGCACGTGCTGAAAAGCCCTGCAGCTGGGATTTCTAACCAGTTTTCCAGAACTTTCAAGCCAGCTTTGAATTAAACTATATTTTTTGAAACATTTTTACGGGCTCATTAGCATAGAACAGGTGCACTTTTGTGCGTGGTTTCTAAACAGAAATTGAAAAATATATATTTATGGGCTACATCCTCGGTGTGTTGTCGCCATTTGCCTTCCCTTATGGCCAGGGTTCTGAGGGAATTACTCTCCTTTTCCTTTCCTGAAGCAGAATTAGAATTTGAAAGTAGTCAAGGCTGTAAATCTGAATGTGTTTCCCTTTTTCAGGCATATATATTCGATTTTACTACAGCTCTCAAGGCAGCATTTTGCTGGAAGTTTATTACGATTTATACATCACCTAATATTTTATGGCAAGGTCAAACCTAAAAAAAAAAACAACACCAAAAGACAGATCTTTTCAAGAGTTTTTGTTGAATCCAATGTTTTCTGTAACACAATTCCACAATTCTGGTAGCAGGAAGGCTACCAGATGACCACAAATGTTGTCATACAAATATTTGCAAAATTACATTATGTTCCTATTTTAGTTTGCCAGAATGGAAGGAGAGGATGGAAAAGGGAAAATACCTTCCTGTAAAAGCTGTCAAAAGTACTATAAAATCTTTATATTTCATTTCAAGTAGTCATGAAGAAGTAAAAATAACCACTGTATCCAAATTATATATATATATATAAAATAATAACCACTTTATCCAAATTTATACATATATAAAATAAATTATCCAATACAGGTAGAGGCCAATAATGATTCTTTTGCTAACTAGATTAAAAAAAATGTTGTTATTCTTTCTGGTTCTGTTATTCTTTCTGGTCTGCTTGTTTCATGCCATTCTGACTTCTAACAGCAGTATTTAACAGATAATAACAGAAATAATTGGTGGTTTTTCTCTCTTTTATTTGATTGATTTGCATCTTGGAGCTTTGGCAGATTGAGATGAAATTTTGAAGCTCAGCAGGAAAAGGGCTGTTGGGTTTACACTCATTTTTTGATGTGGTGTGGTAGGATTTGGGAAAGGATGGGTCTAGATGTGAAAACATGCAGACATGGGACCCTTCACTGTAATATTTACCTAAATTCCATGTACATTTACATATTAGTTCTATATGGTCATTCTGTTGAGGCATAAACTTAATTTTACATGACTAAGTGGCCAAAACCTGGGGGTTTTCTGGTAAAAATTGACACTTTTGTGCATTGTTTTTAATGATTTTCCTGATGAAAGGCTTTTTCAGCCTCATCACGAGACGCAAGGTCAGGAACCAAAATGTGGGAGAGCCATTTTCAAGCCCTCAGATTCAAGCTGAGGAATAAGGATTTCAGAGGTGCTCCCACACCCCAGGTGATTATCCTGCCACTTGGATCGCTGAGTATTGTGGAATAACACAGCAGGGAATCTCTGTCTCTTTTCCAACGGTGTTTGAAACACGAGTTATTAATTTCTTCGCCGAAAAAACTGTTTCCTCTGTTTTCCTAATTATTGAAAATATTGCCAAAGCAAGAGAACAACTGTATTTCTCAAAAAGTGTCTCGTAATACCAGAAAAAACCCACCTTTTTTATCACCTTGGGGGAAGAGACACTGACCTTTTTTCTTTTTTCCCATCCTCTTTTTGCCATATTTCTGTGTTTTCTTCTCTTCAGTTCCTGTTGTTGCTAAAGGTTGGCTGGCCCTGACTGTTCCAGGGTCAATCACTGGCAAAGTCCTTGGGAATGTCAGTGGGAAAATATTCCCTTGGATCTTCTCCGCTGGGTGGCCAAAAATCATGACCCTGCTCCAGCTGCTGCTTCTGGTACTTCTGTGCCTTGGGGGATCTTCAGTTTCCCTGCTTTTTGTGCCACATTCCAACTTCTGTCATGGAAATACGGAGGGAAAAACCACCTGTGTTATGGGAGAACATGGAAATCCCTGTCAGGAATCAGAACATTATTGAGGGGTTTTGAGCTACTGAGTTGTTTACAGGTAACATAAACACCAAAAAGTGTTCAAATATATTAAATGATCCTAAGAAAAACTCAGTTACCTTAAAAAAAAAAACAAAACAAACCAAACCCAGGCACTTCTCTTTAATCCATGAAAATAATTGTGGTCTGTAATTTGTTTCCAAAATGAACTGCAATATGAAATATACTGGTTTTATCTCAGAATTTACTATGACAGCAGCCTGTATTTTTTTTTTTTAGGATTTGCAAGGCATTTCCATTTAAATGGAAATAGATACCATAGTTTGCTTCCTGTCATGGATACATTTTCTCCAGGATTTAATTTAAAGGAGTGTAATTGTATTTATTCTCAACACCTACAAAGTGATTTACAGTATTTAAAGAAAGGAACTGGTCGAGTCTCCAGAAACTGAGTGTTTCTACCCGTGTTTTTATAGTCTTTTTAACTTTCCATTCATGCCACAAAAACATCATTTAGTAATATTTTTGAAGAATTAGGTAGTAAATCAGATCACAACATTAACTTAGGCATTAAAATAGAACAAACCCCACCTTAGCTGCCATGTTAATATTATAGGTAGAAGATATAGAAGCACCTAAAGCTGAACAACAGAGTATCTGAGACTGAAATAAAGCTTTTCTGAAATTTCTGGGATGTTGTTTATTTTATCTATTTTTGTAAAAACAAACAAAAAAAGCTTGTAAATAAAACCTCACAATGTAATCAAAGCCGTGGTTGTGATAAAAATTATTTCCTGGGGTATTGTCAAACCCATTTAATTTTCTTACTATCACATGAAGACTACTCAGATCACAGTTTTATAGATGAAGAATTTTATTCTACAGTTGAATAAGTTGTATATTTGGGGGTCTCTGAAGTGGGCATGGCAAGTATGTAAAAGAAATTTGAGGGGTATTAAAATGATATTTTAGTTCAGATGGATTTTAAAAAGCAGCCTTCACTAAAAAAATACGTGAGAAGATACTTTTGGAACATTTTAACTCCTTTGTTGGCATTTTTGCTTTGTGGTGGCATTTCATTTTAAATTATTAAATTTCTTACAGGAGGGAGGGGAATCATGTAACTCCCCAAGAAAATTAAAAAGTTTAATTCAGGATTTCACAAAGCATTTTAGGTTGAATCAAAACAGTTTCATTACTCTTAATTCCTTTACAAGAACAAGTTTTCCTCATGGAATACTAAGGAATGCCAGGGTCCTGCTAAATGTGAGGCAGTGCAATAATCCCTAAGAGATGAGAAATCATATTTTGAGCATTAGGCAAAGCCCAGCTTGGCACATAGATTTGTATTCGTGTTTAAATTTGATTTGGCTCTGCCAACAATTTCTAGGCAATTTGTCTTCAAATCAAATTAGCTGAAATTGAACTTAAAACTCCTGCTTTAATTTGTTTTGATGAGAAGTGTGGGCTGAACCTCATCATCCAGCTTTGAGAGCAGGTGTTGAAAAGTAAATAAAATGGAAAAGGAGAAGAGAGAAAAACAAAAGGTGAAGGACAAGAAACAGAGAAATGAAATGAAAGATATTGCAATAGAAGAAAAAAGGCAGGAGCTGAAAGGGGAGGCTGGAAGGGATGAACACCAGGAGAATTTATGTTGACAAGATGCAGGAACAAAACTAATTCAGGCCAAATCCATCTGACAGGGATGAAAATGCCATTTCAAGCATCCATAAACAGCAAAACTGCCACAGGAAAGAATTAATTGTTGTCTGTGTGCAAAAAAAGAGTAAGTAAAGGAGGGGGGAGCCCAGGCAGGAGAGCACGGTGTGAATTCCAGCCCCATGGAGCAGTAGCCGAGCCCTGAGCCCCGGGGGAGCTGAGCCAGGTGCCAGGGCCCACCTGATCCATAGGGAAAGGTGTATCCAGGACCTCCTGACCTACCACTGGCTCCTCCAAGGGGCTCCTCCAGCCCAGCAGCCCCAGGAACACAGGGATCCATCCCCAGGTGGGGTCTGACCACCTCAGGGACCTCAGAGCCCTGACAGACACCCCAGTATCCTGGCAGCCCCCTCAGTGCCCCACCTGGAAAGACAATTCCACACCCAGCCCCATGTCCTGGCAGTCCCCTCAGTGTCCCAGTTGGACAGGCAATCCCACACCCATCCTCATGTCCTGCCAGACCCATCAATGTCCTGGCAGTTCCCTCAATGTCCTGGCAGTTCCCTCAGTGTCCCACCTGGAAAGACAATTCCACACCCAGCCCCATGCACCCCCTCAGTGTCCCACCTGGAGAACCAATCCTACACCCAGCCCAATGTCCTGGCAGTTCCCTCAATGTCCCGGCAGTTCCCTCAGTGTCCCACCTGGAGAGCCAATTCCACACCCATCCTCATGTCCTGGCAGTCCCCTCAGTGTCCCACTTGGACAGGCAATTCCACACCCATCCTCATGTCCTGGCAGCCCCCTCAATGTCCTGGCAGTTCCCTCAGTGTCCCACCTGGAAAGCCAGTTCCACACCCAGCCCCATGTCCCGGCAGCTCCCTCAGTATCCCACATGGAGAACCAATCCTACACCCAACCCAATGTCCTGGCAGTTCCCTCAGTGTCCCACCTGGAAAGACAATTCCACACCCAGCCCCATGTGCCCCCTCAGTATCCCACCTGGAGAACCAATCCCACACCCAGTCCCATGTCCTGACAGCCCCCTCAATGTCCTAGAAGCCTCTTCAGTGTCCCACTTGGAGAACCAATCCCACACCCAGCCCCATGCCCTGGCAGGCCCCTCAGTATCCCATCCGGAGAACCAGTCCCATACCCAGTTCCATGCCCTGGTAGCCTCCTCAGTGTCCCACCTGGAGAGCCAATACCACACCCAGTCCCATGTCCTCACAGCCCTCCCAATGTCCTGGCAGCCCTTCAGTATCCCACCCAGAGAACCAATCCCACACCCAATTCCATGCCCTGGCAACCTCCTCAGTGTCCCACCTGGAGAGCCAATCCCACACCCAGCCCCATGTCCTGCCACCCAGCCTGCCACCCCCTTGCTCCACTCTCCCTGTTCCCCTGTCCCCCCCAGGCAGGGGATCCCACCTTGTCCTCTGCCCTCTCAATAAATCTCCTCCATCCCTCCCCACTTTGTGCCATCCCCTCACGGCCTCCCGAACGTCTCCCCCACCGCCATTACCGGCCTCCATCGCCGTTGCCGTGGGAAATGGCGGCAGCACCCCAGGACCGGGTTCTCACCCCTTCCCTCCCTCTTCCCTCACCCTGCACCCAGCAGAGGTGCCTGTGTGTGTATTTCCACCCTCATATTTCCATACCCCACTGGGATATTAATGGGAATTTGGCAACGTGGGGCCCCACTGTGCCGCAGCCACGGAGGTGCCTCACATGTGGGGTTGCGGCCTGTGGACCTCAGAGCTCAGTGGCCAGACCCAACAGGCCGCAAACTCGGGTTTAAACTAAGCATTCCAATGTTGAAAAAGGAGAAAAGCCCTTCAGAACGAAGTGATGTTTTCCTTGGGATGGGAGCTGTGTCCTGAAGCCCTCACCTGCCATTCCCTGTAGCTCCAGGAACGGCTTCTCCACGGGGGAGGTCAGTGATTGTTTCAGGGGTGAAGCGGAGCAGGAATGAGAGTTCATTGGCAATTCTGCCCCAGAATTTGACTGTGGATGTTTGATGGTGCAAATATTTACAGCTTTGAGTATAAATTGAGTATACAACTTCCTTGTGAGGGGAAAAGGAGGGGCAGGCACTGATCTCTTCCCTGTGGCGTCCAGAGACAGGACCTGAGGGAATGGCCTGAAGTTGTGTCAGGGCAGGGTTAGGTTGGATATTAGAAAAATGTTCTTCCCCCAGAGGGTGGTTGGGTGCTGGAACAGCCTCCCCAGGGCAGTGGTCACAGCACCAAGGCTGACAGAGCTCAAGAAATGTTTGGACAATACTCTCAGGCACAGGGTGTGACTCTTGTGGATGGTGCTGTGTGGGGCTAAGAGTTGGACTCGATGACCTTGTGGGTCCCTTCCAACTCAGCATATTTTGTGATTCTGTGAAATTATTAGCATCCTTATCACAAGGCTTATCAATATGCTTTGATGCCAATGACCACAGCATCCTTTGATTGTACTTCTTCAGACCACTAATAACCAAATAATTTGAAAACGTTAAATTCCAAGTGGCCCGTTGTCTCCTAGGCTATACTCACATCCAAAATCTCCTGGGAAACAAGCATGAAAAACAACTTTTGGCTGTAATTTATGTTTTTTCACTTATGTGGGGTTTTTTTGTTGTTGTTGTTTTACAGGAAAATGCTCTGAAAACACCTGCTTTTAATAGGCTTTTTGCTGGACCTCCTGTTGTCTCTCAAAAGTAAAAAGAAATGACAGATGGTGAGCCACACAGCGTAAACTATCCATAGTTTTATTTTTAGTTTTCAGTGAGTGTTTTCAGGATCCCAGTTCCATACATGGAGTACTGCATTTCCAGCCTCACAGAAGGGTTTTCACAGACAAAAAAAATTCCTTTCAATAGCATATTTACTATTTGCTTTATTGCTATTTAGTAGTGCATTTGGTCCTACCTAATCAATCCTAGAAATAAAGTGTTGTATTCCATTGTAAGTGTTTTCAGGACACTGCTATATTCAATCCTAACATGCGAAATGTGTGTAAGCCCCTTTTAAAACCTAGGCCAGTTTCACCTCTGGCATAGAGACAGCTTTACTGAGCTCACATTGCTCACTTACAGCAGAAACAAACTTTGCCCTTAAAATTTGAAAGTAATCTGTTATCATTTAACGTTCTTAAAATACCTCTCATGCTCAGAGACCTCCTTGAGCAAATATGTGCAGGCAGCCAGTGAATTGTGGCCATCTCTGGGGCAGAAGGCGACAACCAGATGGAAAAAGAGCGTCCTGGATAATGAGAGTAGAATGGGGAGGTGGGGGCGTTTCCAAAGTATTCTGAACCTCTTCTTTCACCTTGTGCCCTGGAAATTTTCACTGGTGATGCAAAAAGAGGGAGAAAAGGCAACTGCAGGTTCTGGGTGCATGGAGTCAGCCAAATCACCCCCCTCAGTATCAAGGAGAGAAATCCCTGAGCCTGCAGTGAGGACGATGAGCTGAATTCTTTAAAGCAGAGAGCGTTCATAATCAAGGCTTATTTCAATGTGCTCTCTGCTATAATTACTTCTGCATCTATGCTTCCCTTGCCCTCTCCTTCTTCCTTCCCCTTCTATAATCTAAATTTTCCAGCTACAACTCCAAAGCCTGGTTGTGATCAAGGAAAGGGCACAAGCTCTTTCGTGCAGGCGACAGCGGCGACAGTGCCCATGCAACCTGATGGCTTTGTGATTGCCCCCAGCTCCCTGTCCCTTCTCACTTGTCCCTTCCCCCTCTCCCAAATATTTCTCCAGTCCTGTCTCATTGGTGCACTACTCTCCCTTGCCTTTTTTGGGCTGCCACCCTGTCAATCTAATGCAATAAGGCCGGGGGCAGGTGCAAACCCCTTGCTACGGCTCCTCTTACAGACCAATCCTCGTCCCAAAATACCTGAGAGCCAATGGAGTGGGAAAACCCGGGACCCCGAGGAGAGGGCAAAGCTGCTGGATTGCCTGGGGGAGGGGGCATCCATTTAGGACCCGGGTTAGCCCAGGAGCTGCTGAATTCCTCTTGGGATCGTGGTGACTTGTGGATAGCAGGCTCTGCTGATTCACTTCCATCACTGCAAACATGGTGATCAAAGTATTTGTGGCCACATCTTCGGGGTCTACAGCGGTAGGTGACTCCTTTAACATCCTCTTACTGCTGGGATCAGGGTGGGGAATTAGCCCAGAAGGTGCCAGGGCAGAGCTTGCATTTGAGAAAAAAAACCCCCACTGGAATTCTTAACAGTAATAAACCTTATTTTTATTGTACACTGGCCACCTTATTCTTGAAAGCTGCTCGAGATGTAGAGAGTTCCTGGTAGTGCAGTCTGGCTTGCATGAGAGCTTTTGCCACAGTTATGACATTTACATCTAAATTATCTGTCATTTAATAGATTTACTATGTTTGGAAAAGTATATGAAGTATATATTCACTGAAGAAGGACAAAGTGGATATTGTATTTGCCCAGAAGTGAAGGCAGACTGTCTGTAGTAGAAAATAATGTGTTTGTTTTTAAAAGAGGCTTTAGGACACTTCTCCTGCAAAAGGGGAACTCTGGCTGAGAAAGAGCCTGGAGCTGAATAAAGTTTTGGAGAAAAACTTCTTCCCCACTCCCCTCCCTTTCCCTGGGTTTGGGGAGTTTTTTTGGTTTGTTTGGTAGTTTGTCTTTTGGGTTTTTTTCTGGAGTGTGTGTCTCTTGAAACGTTATACTGATGATTTTTAGCATTGAGATCTACTGCTGTAGCTGTCAGCAGAAAGTATCAGCTGAAGGGAAGGGCATGTGAATAGTGGGGAGGTTGGAAGTCCGTGGGAGGTGGGAACCGGGAAAGGACTGTTTCCTTTTATATCCAGTTCCCAGATGAGCTCAGATTTCAGTTTTCCTCTGGCACTCACTCACTGCCAGTGACGTGGCTAAACAAACTGGCTGGTGCTTGCACAGAGCTGGAACTACATCTCTATCTCCCTGACACCAGCTCCATTTCTTCAAGAAGCTTCCAGAGTGGAAAAGCTCCAAAAAACACCCCCTGTTCATGGGACCATCATCTCTAGAAAATGAACCAGGGGTCATTCACCAAAATTCCAATTGGAATACCGCTGAGGAGGTTTGCAGTTCTCCCACTAAGCCTGGCACTCTAAATTTACTACTGGCATTTAGCATTCCTTCTTTTTATAATGAAATTTAAGGAAAAAAAAAAAACAAACAAGAAAAGAAGAGGAGGTTGGAAACTTCAGGTTTGGTAATTTGGAATAATTCACTTGCTGCTCAAGGAGCTTCATAAGTCGCCACACGCTGTGCATGGACAGTATTTTTGCCCCTGTTCGACCTGTTTTGGTCTCCTTTGGAGACTCCAGGAGAAGAGTATGGAATCTTCCCATGGCAACGTGCCTCTGTATTTCCTCCTTTCTGGTGTGCTGGGGGTGTGTGTAGCCGTAGCAATCTCAGAAGGCAGCATGTGTTCCCATTACTGGTTCAGAATTGCAATGCCAAGTGTTCAGCTGGAGCAGTTTTCCACATTTGCTGATGAACATGGATGGGAGGGATCCTTTCAATGAACCTTTAACGAGTTTTAGTCTACATCAAATAAAATTCACTCATGCAAGGAGTCAGCCTAAAACTCAATGTGTCACTAAAATCCTATTAAAATTAAATTTTGTATCAGCCTTGTACAGCTTTTCCTGAGAAGAATTAATTTAATCCCTAAAGAGTTTAAATTGGAAGTTTAAACTGTCCTAGGAGCACTGGTGATCTCTTCAAAGTGCCTGATCTCCATCAAATGTGTGGTGTTGATTTTGAATTTCAAAAAGGATGGGTCCAGCTTCCTCTGGTGTAAATGAGATCATTGGTAAAGAATGAAAAATGTTTCTATTCTACTTACTACAGGGTCATACTACTCATTGTTACTTGTTTAAATGTTAATAAATGCTTTGTAAAAGTGACT